TCAGAGATTTGCATTGACTTCAAGATAAGATTTACTTCAAGATGGCCAAGTCCAGCACGTTGGAGACCCCCTTCAGCCAACCCTTTTCTGCTTCTCCTGGCCGGATTTCAGTTCATCTGAAGGACGTGGAGCACGGAAACACAGGAAGCTTACAATCAAACAGTAAAAGGTGACTGAGAGCTCTTGAAGGAGAAAGGATACGGCTCCATAAATTGAAGAGGACCTTCCAGGTTGGCAGTGAAGGGACAGCAGCAGTTACAGCCCCAGCTCTAACGGCAGGACACGAGGAAATAGTGGTCAGCATGAACCCAAAAGTAGGAAATGAAGGACAAGAACAGGAACTAATGGCACAGGAGTAAAGAAAACCACATCTGGCGTGGCAAAGGGCTGTCAGAGAGGGGTCTTGTTGCTGTTGTTTAAATTACAGAACGCCAAATGACTTCCCAGGCCCTGGTCAGATAGGCAGTGTTTAATTGGTAACAAATACAGAAAGCGAAATGACCAATGGTTATTGCTAATTTTGCTGCTGAGGAAATGCTATTTTCCTTTCTATCGCCAAAATGGGATTTCTGAGATAAGCCACCTGCACTTGAAGAAGTTGTTTACTTCTAGAAAACGTGGTGTATCATCCTTCCTAACTTCTCCCTGAAGATCTTTCTGTGCCAGTGAAGTTAAACTCGAACACATTTTGAAGTACTGGGGCATCCAAAAAGATGAGAAGAACAGCAGCGTTGGGTCAAGACACAAAAAGGGACGACTAAGATGATCCATGAACCAAGAAGCCAGAAAATTAATGCCAATCTTGGGAAAGATTGGGAAATTTATACGGAATTTAAATGACCCGGGATTGAAGAATACCTGTGTTGTCACATTGGCCAGTCAGATTTTACAGTAAGAAGGTCCTGCTGCTCACATGTAACCCCTTTTCTTCTGATTCACAGAGATGATGCTGAGAGCTGCTTTGATGTGAGGCTCGTGCACAGCCCTACCCGATGTGGAAAACAAGCAGCACCAAATGTCAGCTCCACGTCCTTCAGATGAACTGAAATCCAGCCAGGAGAAGCAGAAAGGGGTTGGCTGAAGGGGGTTCTCCAATGTGCTGGACTTGGCCATCTTGATGTAAATCTTATCTTGAAGTCAATGCAAATCTCTGATCAGATTTGTAGGCGACACGAAGCTGGGATGATTACGGAGAGCAATCAGGGCTGGGCAATGCAGAACCAGAAGCAAAAGCTGTGGCAATCCCTCAGGATCCACCTGAGCCCAGTGAATGTGAGGGAGGAGATGAGCTGCCCTACAGCCTTGGGCTTTGCAAAATGCTCCTGGGGAAGGGCTGGCAGCCCTGCAGGGAGCAGCGTGCTCCCACCTCACCTCTGTGTGGAATGGGAGCAAAGCAGCCCCACCAAAGCGAAGCTGCCACGCAAGGAACTCCTGTGCTTTGCTACGGTTCAGGTGACACAGGCCATGGTGTGACACAGAGTCTGTTCCAGCAATGCATGGCCATCCGGGTCCTCCCCAGTGAGGTCGCTGCCACGGGACACAGACAGCAGGGATATGCAGGGGAGCACTGCACAGCAATGTGCCTGGTGTCTGCCTTCCAGCTGACCTCTTAGAAATGGAGCAGTGACTCAAAACTCCCTCAAAAGTGATGGGAAAACAGGAGAAAGCGTCTTCAGGTGGAAGGCTGAAGGAGTTCGGCCTCTCTTTAATTAGGGGAAGAAGGATTAAATGTTGATTTGATTACCACGTATAAATACATTCATGCGAAAACATACCAGGTACTGAAGTGCTCCTTAATCTAGAAGATAAAGCGTAACGACAGCTGGAAGCTGAAGCATACAAATTTAAATAAGACACGAATTTTAAACAGCGAGGGTGATTAACCAAATTACGAAGGAACAGCGCGGATCTTCTGTTCCCTGAATCAGGATTGATGACTTCATGGAAAATGCGTTGCAGCGTTGTTCACTGAGCACAAGCACAGGGTGACGAGGATCCCCTGGGTGCAGGAGGTCAGGTTGGGTGGTGGAACAGCTCTGCCTGCTCTTAAATTCCACAAAGCCACGGATACTGAACAGCAGCTCCACGTCGTTCTCTCGCGCTCACAAAACAGACCGCAAAGCAAGAAAGGGTTGTGTGTTTTTGAAGAAGGATCAGGGCTCGGAGTGAGGTGTCCAGGACTCCCTCTGCTCCAGTGTAATTTTCACAGCTCAGAACATCCAGCTTTGTTGCCCTGCGGAAAGGGACCTGGGTGTCCTGGTGGACGACAGGTTGCCATGAGCCAGCAGTGTGCCCTTGTGGCCAAAAAGGCCAATGGCTTACTGGGGTGCATTGCAAGGAGCGTGGCCAGCAGGTGGAGGGAGGCGATCCTCCCCCTCTGCTCTGCCCTGCTGAGGCCTCACCTGGAGCACTGCGTCCAGTTCTGGGCTCCCCAGCACAAAACAGACAGGGAGCTCTTGGGAAGAGTCCAGCGGAGGGCCAAAAGATGGTGAGGGGCCTGGAGCATCTCTGCTATGGGGAAAGGCTGAGGGAACTGGGTCTGTTCAGCATGGAGGAAAGGAGACTGAGAGTGGACCTGATCCAGGTCTGTGAATATCTGAGGTGTGGGGGGCAGAATGGCGAGGCCGGACTGTTTTCAGTGGGGAGTGGAGACAGGACAAGGGGAAACGGCTGGAAGCTGCAGCATAGGAAGTTCTGCACCAATGTGTGAAGGAACGGCTGTGCAGTGAGGTGAGGAGCACTGGAACAGGCTGCCAGGGAGGTGGGGGAGTCTGTGGGTCCCAATGGGTCCCAGTGTGTCTCTAGGGGTCCCAACGTGTCTCTATGGTCCCACTGTTCACTGGAGCAGGCTGCCCAGGGAGGTGGGGGAGTCTATGGGTCTCAATGGGTCTCAATGTGTCTCTATGGGTCCCAACGTGTCTCTATGGGTCCCACTGTTCACTGGAACAGGCTGCCCAGGCAGGTGGTGGAGTCTCCTGCTCTGGAGATGTTCCAGACCTGCCTGGATGCCGACCTGTGCGACCTGCTGTAGGAACGGCTTTGGCAGGGGGTTGGACTCCATGATCTCTGGAGGTCCCTTCCAACCCCTACGATTCTGTGATTCTGTGATTTGCTGTCAGTTCTGAACTGGGATCAGATGACGGTTTGGATCAGGTGATTTTTTTGTTTGTTTGTTTGTTTTGGTGTTTTTTTTTCTCGTTCTTCCTCCTCTGTATTTAACAGATTCTTCGCAGTACACATGAGCCTGTTTTCCTATCAGCCTCCAACCCTCTGTGTTCCATAAACACTCAGATGTTGTTTCGAGAGCTTGCGGGGCATATTGGTGATAGGTGGGTGGTTGGACTAGATGATCTTGGAGGTCTTTTACAACCCTGGTGATGCTGTGATTCCATGAGATAACATCAGATCCAAACTTTCTGTAGCTCCATCGATGGGGCTTTGAGCATCCTGACCTGCTGGGAGGTGTCCCTGCCTGTGGCACTGGGTTGGAACTGGATGGGATTTAAGTTGTCCTCCCAAACAAACCACTCTGTGATCTCCTCGAGCGCACTGCACTCTACAATACGACACACTTCATAAAACCGAGTCAGCTACAGAAGAGCAGAGGGCTTTCTTTTAAAGAAACGTCCCTCTAAATGCTCAAAAGGGCTTGGGCAAAAGTGAAAAGCAGAGCTGATCTGCTTGGGCATGCTCCAAGGCAGAGCGCGATCACGCTCGTATGCTGCTAATGGTTTATTTGTCACAGGAGCAGTTGTCCATCAGGACCAAACAGAGTGGCTACACCAATAAATTGAACAAAACAAACATTGCTGGCTGAGTTTGAATGGTTCTGTCAGTTTGGCTGAGTCAACTTTCACCTTTCCAGCCCAGGAGTTGGCAGAGGCCAAAAGCCATCCCATGGAGCAGCCTGGGTGCAGCTCCATTGTCAGAAAGGACTGGAGAGGTTAACAGTGCGCCCGAACCACGCCGTGCCCGTTGATGGCATGGCAGAACAGCCGTCTGGGCACGTGAGAACTCCTCATGCAGAGAAGCCAGAGCTTCAGAACCAACCTGAGGAGCCGTCCAGCTGAACCAGAGACACGGAAAATTAATCATCAGATTGGCACCTGCTCGTGAGCTGGAAACGTGCCCATCATTCGCAAGCAGAAGTTCCAACTCCGTAGTAACTGATCATAAAAAAACACTGCTTGAAAACAGAAATAACTAAACCAGCAGCTCCTCCCCCAAGACCATGAGAGCCCTCAACCGGGACCAGGCACAGATCCTCCCGTCCTCTGTTCTCAAGGAAAAGACATGGGAGTTTGATTCTCACTCCTTGCACCCTGGAGCCTGCATAAAACCCAACAGCCAACGCTCCAAACCCTGACCTCCATAAGGTGGGGAAAAAATTTAAAGACAACACTGAGAAACCCAGAAGCCAAGATTCGATTTTCTTGGCCTCCAAAACATTTCTCCAGCCTTCTGACCTCTTCACAAAGAGTCTCCACGTTCCCTCAATGTGCCAGACCCAGAGACTGCCCCGTCCTCCCCAGAATCCCATCTGAAAGATGCACAACCTCACAGCTGTCTCATTTTGTGCCTCATTCCCAGCCAATGCATCTTTCTCACCCCACACAGTATCATCTGCCAACGGCCTTCCGCGACTCTGTGCTCCAAAGACCTCCGAGATCTAAGACACACTACTAAGGAATCCAGCAAACCTTCCCCTTCACACAACCCATCACTTGCTATGCCCACCAGGAACAACCACAGAGAGGTGGTGGAGTCACCGAGCCTGGGGGTGTTCAAGGAAAGGCTGGATGTTGTGTTGAGGGACGTGGTTTAGTGGGAGCTGTTGGGAATGGGTGAACAGTTGGACTGGATGAGCTTTGAGGTCTTTTCCAACCTTGGTGATTCTATGATTCTATGATTCACTGCCCAGATTCCCACTGTTTCCCCTGGACACTTTCTCCCCCAGCCCTGCTCTGCCATCTCCCCCTTTCTGGAGAGGCCAATCTCACCTCCAGTATCCGGGTCGTGGAAGTTGGGATCCAGTCCTTTCTCCAGCAGCCTGCAGACTTTCTCCGCGTTCAGCATTTGCACGTATTCCATGAACTTCTTCAGGTTTGCCTGCACAATACGTAGCATTAACACCCCGATATGAGGAAAGAAGCCACCAGAGGAATATCCCCCATCCGAGAGACCCAAGGCAACCAGCACAACATCAGAGCAGCTCCCATGTGTCCAGTTTTGGGCCCCTCACTGCAAGAAAGATATTGAGGCCCTGGAACGTGTTCAAAGGAGGGCAACAAAGCTGGTGAGGGGTCTGGAACACAGGGCTGATGAGGAGAGGCTGAAGGAGCTGGGAATGTTCAGTGTGAGAAGAGGAGCTCAGGGGAGACCTCATTGCTCTCTATAACTGCCTGAAGGGAGGCTGTAGTGAGCTGGGGGTCGGCCTCTGCTCTTGTGTCATCAGTGATAGGAGCAGAGGGAATGGCTTCAAGCTACGGCAGGGGAGATTCAGGCTGGACATGAGGAAGTGTTACTTTCAGAAAGGGTGGTCAGGTGCTGGAATGGATGCCCAGGGAGGTGGTGGAGTCACCGAGCCTGGGGGTGTTCAAGGAAAGGCTGGATGTTGTGTTGAGGGACGTGGTTTAGTGGGAGCTATTGGGAATGGGTGAACGGTTGGACTGGGTGATCTTTTAGGTCTTTTCCAACCTTGGTGATTCTATGATTCTATGATTCTATGATTCATGAGGAGCCAGGGCACACATTCATTCCCAAGTCCCTGAAGCCCTACTCCCTATAAGGTTCACGTCCTATTTGAGGGCACACCACAGGCCTGTGCACGATGAGGCCCTTCCTGCCCACGCCTGGCATCGCTGGACCACCCCAAGGAAGGCACTGGGGCCACCAGCCACCCCCCCTGCCCACACCACAGCCCCCTGCTCACACCCCATGAGGGCAGACACGTGTTGCACACGCCTGTGACACGGACACATCCCCATAAACACACTGCAGTGTTTGCCAACCGGGCAGCTATGGAAGATGCTGAGCAGCACTGCCACTGACACAGCAATGGGGGCTTTGCCCACATCTTGCAGCAGCACTGCACCTCCTGAGGTCACCGAGTCACTTTGACGGCGCATCGCCTCCTTGCCAACTACTCTGAAACGCTCAGGAAGAAAGGCCAGCTTCACAGGCACCAGCTGTCACGGTGTGGTGTCGCAGCTACGGCTGCAAAATCGTGTTTTGTTCACGATGCCATTCTCTGTCTTTGGCCAGAGACTAAATCTTGTTCTCCTGAGAGCTCAGAGGACTCCTTGAAGCCTGGCTGCCTGGCCTTGGCTGTGAGGATTTTCTCTTTTTTCCCCTTTTGGGTAGCTACACTTGATGCATACACTGTTTAATAGATTTCCAGCCTCTAGGAATTATCGCTCTGCCAGGCAGGCCGACAGGACTGAAAACACTCATTTCACACATGCTCCCAGCTCTGCTTTGCAGACCTTTGGGTCACATCCCCCATGCTCCTCCCAACAGCCAGTGCCACGCACACGGTAACTGCAGCGCCCATCTTCCAGATTCGTGCTGGCAGAGCTGAGCCCACAGCAGCACGGCGTCGACTTTTAATGATAGCTTCTGCATTTTGCAAGAAACTGAAGAAAGAGTGCATGAGCAAAAGGAGAATGCAGGGGGAGGCAGCCTCGACTCCAGGATTCAACATCACAGTCCCATGCACTACATGGGCTCTAATAGGGCCATGCATGGAATTTCTCTCTGGGAGAAATCAATTACTATCCCGAATTTCTAAACATTCCAGAGTTCATCTACCTTCAGATCAAATCCACAGCAAAGCTTCAAAGATAATTTGTCAAGCAGATGGACTTAAGAAGTTAAATAACAAAGAGAAAACCGTTCTCTTCCACCAGTTACCACCTGCTGTGCTGCGTGCCCCAGATGTGCAGCTCGAGGCCTGAGCTGATATTCATATAATTAAATCAATTAAGTTGTCTTCCAGAATAAACTTGGGGAAACCCATTGTTCCACTCGAATTAAGCACCGCCCTGAGCATGGAGACATAGAGACCCCCGATTTTTAAACACACATCTGTGGAAAGCACTCTGCTACATCTCAGAGATCTCCCAGCACTCTGCCAGTGGGCAGAGGTGAGAAATAACAGAAATGGGATTCAGCAAAGGGATGGGAAACTGCTAACTGAGACGTCTTGGTCAGTGCACACCTCAAACCTTTGCATCAAGATCCTCTCATTCTGCACAGCCTCTCCCACAAGCTGCCATCGCAGCCCGGTGCCTCCAGCACTGGAATGCCCCATGGGACCCCCAGATCAGAGCCCTGGGGCACCCCATAGAGCAGCCAAACGGTTCAACCACCATTGGAACCAGTACCAACATTGGGAGCACAGCACAGGGCTGAGCAGAGGGGTTAAGAACTGAAGAGCTGCAGGGCCACCATGGGGAGCTGTAGGGCCAGGAGGAGCAGTAGGGCCAACATGAGGGGACTGTAGGGACTTAAGGAGCTGTAGGGCTGCCGTGAAAAGCTGTAGGGTCACCATGAGGGAGATGTAAAGCCACCATGAGGAGCTTAGGGCCATAAGGAGATGTAGGAACACCATGAGAGAGATGTAGGGCTGCCAGGAGGTCACAAGGAGCTGTAGAGCCACTATGAGGGAGCTCTAGGGCCACTGTAGGTCAGCCTTGAGGGGATGTAGAGACATGAGGAGCTGTAGGACCACCATAAGGAGTTGTAGGACCAAAACAAGGGGCTGTAGGACTGCCATGAGAGAGCTGTGAGGCTGCCGTGAGGAGCTGTAGGGCCATCATGAGGGGCTGTAGAGTCACCATGTGGGGCTGTAGGGTCACCATGAGGGGCTGCAGGGTCACCATGAGGGGCTGTAGGGTCACCACGAGGAGCTGTAGGGTCACCATGATGGGCTGTAGGGTCACCACGAGGAGCTGTAGGGTCACCATGAGGGGATGTAGGGTCACCACAAGGAGCTGTAGGGCCATCATGAGGGGCTGTAGGGTCACCATGAGGGGCTGCAGGGTCACCACGAGGGGCTGCAGGGTCACCACGAGGAGCTGTAGGGTCACCACGAGGGGCTGTAGGGTCACCATGAGGGGCTGCAGGGTCACCATGAGGGGCTGTAGGGTCACCACGAGGGGCTGCAGGGTCACCACGAGGGGCTGCAGGGTCACCACGAGGGGCTGTAGGGTCACCACGAGGGGCTGTAGGGTCACCATGAGGAGCTGTAGGGTCACCATGAGGGGCTGTAGGGTCACCATGAGGAGCTGTAGGGTCACCACGAGGAGCTGTAGGGTCACCATGAGGGGCTGTAGGGTCACCATGAGGGGCTGTAGGGTCACCATGAGGGGCTGTAGGGTCACCATGAGGAGCTGTAGGGTCACCATGAGGGGCTGTAGGGTCACCATGAGGGGCTGTAGGGTCACCACGAGGAGCTGCAGGGTCACCACGAGGGGCTGTAGGGTCACCATGAGGGGCTGTAGGGTCACCATGAGGAGCTGTAGGGTCACCATGAGGGGCTGTAGGGTCACCATGAGGGGCTGTAGGGTCACCATGAGGGGCTGCAGGGTCACCACGAGGGGCTGTAGGGTCACCATGAGGAGCTGTAGGGTCACCATGAGGGGCTGTAGGGTCACCATGAGGGGCTGTAGGGTCACCATGAGGAGCTGTAGGGTCACCACGAGGGGATGTAGGGTCACCATGAGGAGCTGTAGGGTCACCACGAGGAGCTGTAGGGTCACCATGAGGGGCTGTAGGATCACCACGAGGAGCTGTAGGGTCACCATGAGGGGCTGTAGGGTCACCATGAGAGGCTGTAGAGTCACCATGAGGGGCTGCAGGGTCACCACAAGGAGCTGTAGGGTCACCATGAGGAGCTGTAGGGTCACCATGAGGGGCTGTAGGGTCACCATGAGGGGCTGCAGGGTCACCATGAGGGGCTGTAGGGTCACCATGAGGGGCTGTAGAGTCACCATGAGGGGCTGCAGGGTCACCACGAGGGGCTGTAGGGTCACCATGAGGAGCTGTAGGGTCACCATGAGGGGCTGTAGGGTCACCATGAGGAGCTGTAGGGTCACCATGAGGGGCTGTAGGGTCACCATGAGGGGCTGTAGGGTCACCATGAGGGGCTGCAGGGTCACCATGAGGAGCTGTAGGGTCACCATGAGGGGCTGTAGGGTCACCACGAGGAGCTGTAGGCCACCATGAGGCCATTCCTCAGCCTCCTCTGCTCCGGACCAAAGAAACCAAGGACCCTCAGCTTCTCCTCACATCCCTTTCCCTTCAGACCCTCCCCCTTCTCTGCAGCCCTCATTTGGACACTCTCTCACAGTTTTACATCTCCATCCTGGCTTTACTGCCTTTGTGTCAGTAAGGTTTCAGTCCCACAGAGGTTCTTTCCCACAATTAAATCACACAACTGTTAAAACCTGTGTTTGGGGTATGACAACTTCAGGAGCATCTAGAAAACCATATTGATTGAAGGATTCTTCTGCCAAAAGCCACGAATTCGAGCTCGCTCCTCCTGCACCGCTCAGAACCAGCACAAACCATCCTTGGCTCTGGAAATCAGCTCAAATCTATGAATATGTCACGGTCGCATCCCATTGTAACCACTTTTCACAGAAGCAAATGCTGGTATTTACATTCTCCCGTGTTGGTTTTTCAACTTAGGCTGCATAAAAGAGCTTTCCTATCAGATTGTTTTTCATTTCAATTTAGCTAGAAACACAGAACATTTTCCTTTCCATTTGGACTGATTCACTCAAAGCCGAAAGATTTGAGAGCTGAGAGAGCGCAGAAGCCTGTTTTTCTCCCCCCAATCTATGAATAAAACCCTGGTGGGAAAGGAATGAGATCTCATTATTCTAAGAAGTGGAGGATTTGGGGCCAGGTTTTGAAATGTATTGAGGTGACGAGACACGAAGAGAGAGAGCAAATGTCAGACTCCCACTGAAATCAAGGGGAGCTCAGCAATGCCTAAACCACTCAGGCAATTGTGAATCTCGCCAGATACTTATTTTCTGGCACTTAAATACCTTTGAGAGTTTGTAATGGGAACCACTAACACAGACCCAATCTCCCTTTGTTTGAAAGATCAGTCAGCTTCAAACGCGGAAGATACGTACTGATAGATTTACCTTTCCTTTTCTGTACCCAGTGCGCTCAAGGAACATTTACTGAAGTGATAAAGATACGATTTAAAATGTTACTTTGCTTCAATTTTAATTGAATTCCAGCTTCCCCCCCAAAATAGTTGGATACGCATCAAAATCATAAAAGAAACATCAGGAGCCAATAAAGGCACCGCGTCCCATTTCCTACACGCAAAAAAGCGAAACCTAAATGCACGTCTATAAAGCTATCAGCTCCCAGTGCATCTTCCCAAGAGCAGAAGCAATATGAATTCATGGAGATCAGGGTGATTCTCAAATCACTGTGTGGGGATGGCTGTCCTGACGATGGAAAGAAGCAAAACTCAGCAATAAGTCATCCAACGAAATCAGCCTAGCATACGGCCGCCCCTGGCTGATTGAAAGGGTTTTCACACCCCTATTTCCCAACCCCTTGGCGTGGAAGTGCTGTGTGAAGGTCAGGCAGATGGGGTTGGGGCGGGTTGGACCCTCTGGGATCCTTCCATCCCAACCCACAGCCATTGCAGCCTCATCCCAGCCTCTGCAGCGGATCCGTGCTCATCACCTGCATCTCCTGCAGGCTGACCGCCAACCCCCCCTGCTCCCACCGAAGGAGGAGCCCTGTTAGAAGAGACAAGAACCGAATCCTGGCTCTGCCCTTATCCCACTGCTTGGGAACCAGTAGGGCTGGCTGTCCAACCCACGGCCACCGCTCCCTTTCTGCACCCGTACCCGAAACACCCCCTGTTCACCCAGCTGAGCTGGTCTGAGGCACGTTCCCCAAAGCCTGGGGTTAAGGCCAGGATTGCTCCTGGAGAGGAAGCACAGCCCTGCTCGTCCCACTGAGACATGATGTGCAGCCCGTTATCCCCTGTTGGTACAAAACCACAAGAAAAATCAACACCCTCCAGAAAAAGCTTGTGGAGAAGAAGCTGGTGTGAGGGAACAAGCTCTTCTCACCAGCTTTTCTCTCTTGCTCATCAAAATGAAAGAAAATAAATGAGATATTCTTCTGGCAGGGAAATTATTCTAACTGCTGCTGGCTGCTCAGCCCGGGCTGAGTGCAGGGATGCTGCCGGGACCCACTGTGAGCACAGGGAGACAAACACCCCTTCACAGCAGTTGAATGCTGATGATTCCTGCCTTTTCAGTATCAAAGCAAGGTGAACGTTTCCTCAGGGCCTGGTCTGTTCCTAAGAGCAGCTAGGATTAAGATAAACCACCTGCTGTCCAGATGCCACATGGTTACGGTGCCTGCAGAAGGCAGGAAGCCACTGATCTCCTCCCTGGTCACTTCACAAGCTCTTGCCCAGGCAGCAGCAAGCAGACATTCCCACAGAAATGCCTGATAATCCATTTCACTGCACACACAAAGAATCTTTACACGCCATCTCTGAAAGCTCAGCGCTTCTCCAAACCTGCCTGAAGCACTCCCAGCGTTAACAGGACCAAGGGAAGCACAGAGATGCTGTGGGCTGAGGGCCAGGGGGCAGAGGGGAACACGGTGTAAGGATTGGGGTCAGCACCTGGGCGTGCTGCTCTGAGAGCTGCCAAGGCAGCACGAGCTGCAGCCTAAACCCAGTGGTGCTCAGGTAATGCCAGGCTGCAGGCACGGCACAGTGCTCCAGGAGTTAACTGCACAGCTGCTCATCTGCTCATGGCATTTCCCTGCCAGCCCTTTCTCCATCCAGCACTTCCTGCAGGCGTTAACGAGCTCCTTTGTCTTTCCAATCAGATTTTCAGGGCTGTGACAATATTTTAGGTAGGAGTGCAAACCAGTCAGCACCGCAGTACTGTGACCGTAACAGGAGCTCCCAGGTTGCCCTCAGACAGCTCCACCACTGCACTGGAGCCCATCTCCTCCTGGAGAACACGGAATCACCGAGTCATTCAGGTTGGAAAAGAGCTCTGAGATCCCCAATCCGACCCCAACCCATCCCACTGCCCACGTCCCCCCAGTGCCACATCCCTGTGCTCACTGAACACCCCCAGGGATGGGGGCTCCCCGCTGCCCTGGGCAGCTGTGCAGCGCTGACGGCTCTTTGCAGCACAGGTTGTCCCCAATTCCCTCCCCAGCACAATGTGAGACCATCCCATCTCACTGCTGCTTTACCCTCCTTTAGGTGAGCTCATTAGGCACAGGTCTCCAGCTGAATGCACCCTGGGCTTCAGCAAAAGGGGACAGAGGGGCAGGGAGGGGACTGTCCCCCTCTGCTCTGCCCTCGGGACTTCAGCCTGGATAAGAGACAGGAGAGACCTCCCTGTGAGCTGAAGGAGCTGCTCAACAGGAGGAGAACGGCTTTGTACACGGGCACAGGGTGATGGGACACGGGGGGAATGGCTTTAAATTAAAAGAGGGGAGATTTCCCCTCACATCTGACATAAATCCTTCACCCAGTTGTGGTGCGGTGCTGGCATTGCTGCCCAGAGCTGTGGGTGCCCCAGGCTGTGGATGGGCAGCCCAAGCTGGGGGGCACACAGCCCATGGCAGGGATAGGGCTGGGCACATACCATAGCCAGAGAAGCAGTCCCACCGTCCCATTAGACCCAAAGCTAATTCTTCACAACGCTTTTAATTACTGAATCTCAGGGAAAAAAAGAAAAGTGAAAAAAAAAGAGCAGCACAAAAAGAGCAGCATTTCACTGCCCAGGAGATAAGGCTTCGTTTCAGTTAACATGGAAACAATCCCGCCCTTGCTCAGCCATGCACAGGGGAGGAATGGGGCTCTGCTGGCCCCAGGAGCACCGCAGCTCCAGGAGAACATCAGCATCCTCCCGATGGAGGCGAATGGGAGCAGGGCTGCACATCTCCCTTGGATGCCGTCCTTCAGCAGCAAGGGACAGCTTAAAAGTACAGAAACGACTTGAAGGAGATTTGTTATTTTAAGCGGACATGAAAGCACAGAGATGAAGTGAATATTTAATAAAGCACATTCCTGGCTCCTGCACACTCCTGGGGATGCCCTCAGACGGTGCCGCCCAGGTCTCCCCAGCTCAGCCCTCCCTGTAGGAAGCGTGGCTCCCACTGGCAGGGCTCAGCAGTGATTCACGTTTCCTGGCGCCAGGGAGATGCTGAGCTTTTTCCACGTCTGCTGCCTGGATATTCTTATGCCACAAGACAGAAACCTCACCACTTTCATCTTCGTGAGTCAGATCTGAGCCCTGGCAGCATTTTATCCCTCCTTTCTGCTACTCGGCTAAAGGAAGGCAGAGGACGTGTTTCTTCCCATGAAGACTTTAACCTTTGCAGTAGGTCAAGCCCTTTGGGACCAAAGTTTTTTTTTCCCTCCCCTCGTGTTCTGCCTGTGGCTTCACCCAGCTCTGCTCTTGCTGCTGTGCATGTCCATGGAGAGCATACAGCTCCCTCCTGCCTCCCTCACAGAACACACACCAACAGGAGCAAGGCAGCAGCCCTACAGCAAGAGCAGTTCTGCGTCCTACAGCCTTCTTGACAAGAACTCCAGAGCCTCCTGGCGCTTTCCTCCACTGCACAGATGCCCCTGGAGCCCTCCACAGCTCTGCTCCCTGCCATGAGCCCCATTTCCCCATGGGATCCCCCAGAAATGGGCTGCATTTGGTGGGCGCTGAGGATGTCCTCCCACCCCCAGCCACCCCAATGCTGCCCACCCCGCTCCTCCTGCCACTGCCAGCCCCAGCCTCCCAGGAACCAACACCATTCCCACCAGCCCTGTGCCTCAGGGAACAATTATCAGTGGCAACAGAAATCCTCTGCTGGTCCAGACCTCTCCACACTCATTGCTCTTTGGTTTCTTAGATGAGAAATGATATCACGGAGCTCTTGCAGCTGGCTGGGAAGGAGCAATGCAGGAGAGCATCCACCCAACCACTGCGTGCCCAGCACCTGTCAGCCCCACTGCCCCAGCTCCACAGTGCCTGTTATCCTCACTTCCCCAGCCCCACAGTGCCTGTCACCCCAGCATCCATCACCCCCGGCACCTCAGCCCCACAGCACCCATCACCCCCACCTCCTTGGCCCCGCAGTACCAGCTGTGCCACCAGGGCATCCCCAGCCATTAATCTTCATGCATTCCTCCATCGCTGCCCACGCTGCCTGGAGCAGCAGACCAACGATGGAGGTGTGCAGCAGCCCCTGAGCGGGAGGACGGCAGGCTGCTCAGTGTGCACACACTGTTCCATCACCCACCCAGGGCACAGAACAGAACAAAGCTGCTCTTCAGCCAACCCTCTGTGTGCTCCCCTGCACTGCCTGCCCCGCGCACAGTTGGCACCCAGACCTCCAACGGAGCAGCGCCCACCACAGCACACACAATTGCAGCACTCAGTGCAGTTCTTCCACTCACAACACACCAAAACCACCCCGGCTTTGGCCACACCAGCAGCTCACAGCAGGGATCTGAGCTCCGGCGAGCGAGAAAGGCTGAACCCCCTCAGGTCCTGGTGCCCTCAGAGACCTCTGCCCATCAGCATGGACCACTGGAGCTGTGCATGCACTCAGGGCTCTGAGCTCACAGGCTCAACTCCAGCCTTACCTTGGTATGGAGCTTGGCAAACTGCTTGTCATCCAGTAAAGCCTGGGTGTACACACGCCGCTTGTACCGGAACTGCAAGAGGGAGAACGCCAGTCGTGAGATGCACAAAGCCCACTCAGCATCAGTTTGCTCTGGAGCAGAAGTCCTGCAGTGAGACCCTCAGCCTAAATCTGAGCACAGCAGAACAGGATCTGCTGCTCTCCTCCACCTTTTTTTCTCCTCGTTCATTGCTTTGCTCGGTGAAGAGGCTCTGATCAGTTCCTCGTATCAATCTGTGTGGTTTCAGCTCTTCTCAGTGTGCTTTCAGGCACTGACTGTGACCAAACTCTGCTCTGATGCCCATCTCCTCTCCCGAACCACTCCTGGAACCACCTTGCTGTTTGTCAGGGCACACACCAAAGGATCCCAGGATCCCATAGGATCACATTGGGAATTCATGACAGCCTTTCTGACTGACAATCTTCTTTGAAAACTTTGTTTTCAGAAATGAGAGCCCCTCCTTTGCAAGCAGCCACATCCCTGTCCAATGTCGGGGTCTGGAACACAGGGCTGATGAGGAGAGGCTGAAGGAGCTGGGAATGTTCAGCCTGGAGAAGAGGAGCTCAGGGGAGACCTCATTGCTCTCTATAACTGCCTGAAGGGAGGCTGTAGTGAGCTGGGGGTCGGCCTCTCCTCTCGTGTCATCAGTGATAGGAGCAGGGGGAATGGCTTCAAGCTACGGCAGGGCAGATTCAGGCTGGACATGAGGAAGTGTTACTGTTCAGAAAGGGTGGTCAGGCACTGCAATGGATGCCCAGGGAGGTGGTGGAGTCACCGAGCCTGGGGGTGTTCAAGGAAAGGCTGGATGTTGTGCTGAGGGACGTGGTTTAGTAGGAGCTATTGGGAATAGGTGAACGGTTGGACTGCATGAGCTTTGAGGTCTTTTCCAACCTTGGTGATTCTATGATTCTATGATTCTAATTTAGGAATGTGCTGTGATGGCTCCCGTACCCAATGACTGCTCCCACACTGCTGTGCCCTCTGCCAGCAGTGATTTGCAATTGATACAACTGTTGAATATCCCAAGTCGAAAGTGACCCACAAGGATCCTCGAGCCCAACTCACACACACTGCACTCAAAGCCTGGGGTGCCCACAGAGGGTCTGACATCAGTCCCTAAGAAACCCACCCAGGCTCATCCACGTGTCCTACAGACACCTTCCAGCGCTGATCCCAAACGGAGAACAAAACCAGGTCCTCCCCAGTGGCCGCTGCCTTCGTGCAGCCATCTTCATAGGGCAGAATTATGGCTCTCTTAAAGAGGTTGGATTTGATTCGATCTTTTTCAATTGCATTCTGAGATTGTGAGCTGTTATGAACTTCATCTGTCGCCAGCATCCCATTATTTCAGCTGGATCTGACACCAAGTTATCTTTGGGCTGGAGTTACTTTTGAATGCTGGCAATACATCACCTCATTCTCAGCCTGCTGCAGCTGCCCTTGGGTTCCAGAACTTGTTATAAACAAGAAATCCTGGGCAGATGTGTCCTCACAACACTTTTTTCAATCATTCCCAGCTAAAAGCTGCCCAGCTCACCAACATACAGCTGTTGGACCCCTGCAGGCAAACCCAGGCTGGATGTTGTGTTGAGGGACGTGGTTTAGTGGGAGCTAATGGGAATAGGTGAACGCTTGGACTGGATGATCTTTTAGGTCTTTTCCAACCTTGGTGATTCTATGATTCTCTGATTCTTCACCCCCACACCAAGTTGGGGTGCAACCAGCTCCAATCCCAGCTGCACAGCTGGTCAGATGGGGAAGGCAGGCTGTGTCACTCTGATGTGACAGCATGCAGTGCCACCCAGGGGCAAGGCAAAAACAGAGGAGAGCAGAGCTGCGAGGCACCATCAGCTGCTCTGAGCCTCTGCACAGCATTAGCAGTCAGCTCTGAACCCTGAGCATCACCTGGCAGGAAGCACTGCCTGAAGTCCCTCCGTAACGTTTTGTCACTCTGTACAAACCCACATCAATCTGGTCACCTCCACACTCAGCCCTAAGGGCTCATTTCTCTTATGGGCTCAGGAAACCTCACTGGGAGCAGCGTGGGATCGGTGCCCTGTAAACAGATTCCGGACTTTTGGTTTTCCAACACTTGATTTTCATGTGCTCAGCTGCCATTCTTATCAGGTTAGGAAGAATTGAAATGACCCACGACAAATGTCCACGTCAGGTCTGCTTTTAGATGTGTGCACTGAGATATTAAGCGTGGACATTATGCTGAATCATACAGAACAAAGGACTAAAAGCCTAAGGGAGGAACATTAGGGAACTGACTGCCTCGTAGGTTTATTTGCAAGCATTCCTCATGGTATTGCAAATGTTTTAGTCTATATTCGACATTAGTTTACTAAGAAACTGTGCAGCATTTTCCTTCCACATTAGTTGGGATTAGTTATAATAACAGCATTCACGCTTGCATTTGTAAGAGTTCATACAGCTTAAGTGTGTAATGCTTCCTAAGTAGGCTCTGAGGGTAAATTATAGCACAGGATCCCTGAACCAGAGGTCTGCCTGCAGGTAATCAAAGCTCCATACAGCCAGTGGGGAGTCAGTGGAGCCCACAAACTGCTCCTGCTCACCCTGTGATACACACAGCCCTCCCAGCCCCAGACCAAAATCTGTACTGAATGTCAGTACAGAGGAATTCCATTCATTTCTGTCCCAGTTAATGTTCTGGAAAGGAATATAATATAGAATGAAATCTAGCAATTATCGTCCGTGCTCATTACGTGAATGGGGTCTGTATAGGAATGGTCACTGCTGTCAAAGCACAGTGCTCCCTTCCACAATTTACACTAATTGTGAATTAAATTTAAAGAAAAAATGTGCACTCAGAGGGCGGTGAGGCACTGGCACAGGTTGCCCAAGGAGGCTGTGGATGCCCCATCCCTGCAGGCATTGGAGGCCAGGCTGGATGTGGCTCTGGGCAGTCTGGGCTGCTGGTTGGCGACCTGCACACAGCAGGGGCTTGGAACCAGATGAGCACTGTGGGCATTTTGCATCCCAGGCCATTCTAGGATACTATCATTCTATGAAAGTAAATGTAAAATTAAAGTGAAAAACATCAAACTCAACCCCTTCAGCCTCATTTCCAAGGACCTTCCTGTGCTTTTCCCTCTGTACCTACAGCTTTCCCTGCCTAACTCCAGTTCCTCACAGCAGTTACCTGCCATTATAAGAAGAAGGAGATGTGTGACCAGCTGGCTCGGGAGGCAGAATCAGACCCTCAGGGCCACGGCCAACGTCACAGAGCTCCACCAGGCAGAGCCATGAGCAGCTAAAACTGGAGCTCAGAGGCGTTTGCCTGAGCTTTCCCTCGATGGATTCTCTGCGAGTAAACACACACCCACAGAAATCTCTGCACCTCGTCCTGATGGGAAAAGGGGGGAAACAGGGGCGGGGGAGGAGGGGGCTTAATTTCTGTGCTGCTTTTAGAGACTGTAGAGGAAGGGGTGGGATGATTCCTATGCACTTGTGCACGTACATAGGCGTGCGTACGTACCTATAGGTGTGGGTACACACACACATATATGTTTATGAATGTATATATTAAAAATGACAGCTACCTCCAGGTAGGGGACGGGAGTGTCGGGATTCAGGGGGTACTCCCGCAGCAGGCGCTCCTCGTCCAGGAACTTCCCTGCTCTGCCATTGAAGGCTGGCTGGAAGAGCCCGTAGTTGAGCACATCCTTCAGGCTGTGGTTGAGGGTGCACAGAATGCGCTGCTTGGAGGCCCACACGGGAACGTCCGGATTCAACCGCAGACACTTCTGTGGAGAGACAGAAGGGCAATGAGAGCTGCTGCGTATTGCAGGGATGCGGAGAGAGCAGGAGGACGAGAGGGGAACGCCACTGCCTTTGCAGTGTCAGCTGGTAAAAGAAGGGGAGGCAGAAGCAGAGGATCAAGTGTTTAAAATCAGAGGACACGCTGGCGCACCGGAGGTCAGCTCACAACAGCAGGTCCCCAGCAGCGTTCTCAGCTTCCCTCCCAGGTCCTACTGCCTGCATTTTGACCCTTGACTTCTTGTTATGATTACTTTGGTTTTCCACCTTCTTTGCTCTTGGACTTGGTGATCTCAGAGGTCTTTTCCAATCTTCACGACTCTATGATCACTCCCAAAACAGGAGACTGGAGGCACAGCGTCCAAGGGGCAGGGCCAGCAGAGTCACACGGTTACATCGTTGTGGTTTTGTTCATGGAGGTTTTGAAGAGTTGATGCCTGAACACAGACACCTGCTTGGCTTCCCAAGCAGAAACACAGCCCAATCATCACCCCTCCGTGCACACAGAAGCCATTCCAATGGGCTCTGACAGACCTGCAGTGTTGGAGCTCCACACCACACACCCCAGCCCATGGACTGGCACTCACCCAGGCATCAGAAGTAACTGCACATCCTCACTCCTTCCATCAGCCTTGTCTCACCATAACTCATTACCACCGTGCCCACTAAACCACTTGGGCACATGGTCAGTGAGAACGGTGGGGATGGGTTGGAGTTGGATTTGGTGACCTTAGAGGTCTTTTCCAACCTTACTTATTCCACAATTCTATGATCTCCAGCTCCAGAACCCTGGGGCTTGCTTAGGCCTTAGCAGCATCGCTATGCTTTTGTGAATTAAACAGCTTTGCCTAGAGAAAAGCAAATGGTCTTGCTGAGGCACAGGGTGGGAGGCAGCAGAGAGCCGGTGCTGCGTTGCACAGTGCTCAGAAAACTCACTGTGCAGTACAGGCAAAGCAGAGCTGAGGTTACGGCTCATTTTTCTCAGGCAAGGATAACTCTCACTTGGCAGCATGCATTTGTACTGCAAGCAGAGGTCAGCATTATCTATTTCATCGCTGACCATGTGAGCAAGTTGGTGTGCTTATCAACTACTGCTTGTCCTACAGCAGGTGCTAATGAGGAGGCTGCTGCTTGTTGGCGTGAGACATCAGGAGCCCAAAACCCTAGAGATGCCAAAGAGAAGTAGAATACGCATCACTCTTTTGGGAACTCTAAATAAAAAACCACCATCTACAACTTCCTACTTCGCCTCCAGGACTCTTCTTCACTGTCAGATGATGCCTTTCACTATGAAACTGTATGACTAATGGAAAAAAAATAAACTACAGACATGCACACGTGGACAAGAACAAGTAGTGATTGAAGGAACGTCCTGGAACAAAGATCACTGAATCGTATCCTGAACTTTTACTGCACAGACATATTCCAGAGTATTAACATTCCATACGTAGGAGAGAAAACAGCTTCCATCCTGCAACACGTTTTGTTAACCAGTGTCAGAAACTGGAAAAAAGGAAATGCCTGCTTCGGTGTTAGGTCAAAACGCTGCAGTCCTTGGTGGCCATAATCCTACTAATTCAGTGTATCTTAAAGCTCTGTTTCTCGAAATACCACCAACCCACCAGAATTCCTGCAACTAAACACACTTTTTGCACTCCATGATGCAGCACAGCCATTCCAGGAGCAATCCAACAGACGACATTAATCCCACCAGTCTCTGCTGGCAAGCTGCAGAGATCTCTCTGTGCAGCCTCAGCTCTGAAGCCTGCATGGATCCACAGCAAATCCAGCTGTTCTGTGCTCAATTTGCTCGGGCAGACACTGCAGCAAGGGTTCCTCTAACCTGTAGCATGGGGACACACCAGTTCTCACCATCACAGTGGGGACAACCCTGGCAGCTTCCACAGCAGAACCTGGCTGACCTTGGCGGAACAGGAAGGGTTCAGTTGCCCAAACGCAGGCATTCAGCCAGGCACCGACCCAGCCCCATCAGGACGGGAACACCAAGCTTGGACATGAGGGCAGCTCTGCAGCCCCGTGCTGCTCTCCTGCAGGATGCTGAGCAGGAGGGATCAGGGTGAGTGCACAGGGCACCACAAAGTCCACCCTGTGCTGAGGACACAGGCTGCAGGCAGCTGCAGCATGAGCCACTCACTTTAGTTTGCTGTACAATTATAAGTGCTGATCGTAACAATCAAAGCCTTTGGAACAAGTCCTGAAAGAAAACAATGCAGTTCCTCAACTTTTAGACAGCATGGATGACCCCTTCCTGAAGGAAGAAAGAGCTCATTGCTCCCGCTTCAATCCTCTGCAGTGCACAGGATGACAGACAAGATCTATTCAGGAGCCACCCCGCAATAACGACAATAAAGAACAGCCCCTTAACAGCAAAGAAGACAAAATTTTTTCATCAAAGTGCACAAAAATGAGAGAGAATTGAAAGGAAATTAAAAGTAGCAGCTGAAAAGGTGATGTGCTTGCAGGCAGCAGGTAACATATTTCACAATATCACATCAGAAGCTCTGAGCAAACGTATAGCAAAAATGGAAAAACGGCCCCAAAGAGGCCCCCGGAGAAAGACGGAGCGGCCGAAAACAACAGAGCAGAGGAATCTATAGAAAGTGAAAGAGCTCCTTTAGAAAATGGGAGTTGCCATTTTGAGATCGGAGCAGAGCACAACCCCGACAACTGCATGCAAAATGACAACGGTGACAAAGCCGTAAAACCTCGGGGATGCAGAGGGAGCAGGGAGCTGATGGACGCGGGGGGGGCCATGATGCGGCTCATCCAGGGGTGGGGTTCTCTTATCTCCCGAGTGTTTTCAGCATGGCTGCTCGCTGCCATAAGCCAGACTGCCCAAAGCAGGGCGGCATCCCTTCAGCCCTGCAACCGAGCGGGAAAACGGTACACAAAGGTGAGGGAATGCTGCAGGTTTCCAACACGGGGTTCCTCAGTGGGGCCACGCGTGCCCACAATGGGGTGTGAGAGCAATGGAGGCTGTCACACCGAAATTGGCAGCACACCCAGATCCTCTGCATCGCGCGCCGGCCCGTCCACCCTACCAGGAAAAAACAGAAACAGGAAAGGTAAAGCTGACAAAGGTGACAGGAGCAGAGAGCGGCCCGCAGTGCCTGGTGCAGAGCCTGAGCCGAGGGTGGGGCCTGGACCAGAAGCAGGGCCTGGTGTGGGGCCTGGGCTGGGGGCGAGGCCTGGGCCATGGCAGGGGAACGGCTCAGTAGGAGCCCAGGGCAGCCCCTCACCCTCTCCTTCCCAGGAGATCAGGAGTGGGGCCTCGTGCACGGCCTGGGCTAGGAGTTGGGCCTGTACCAGAAGCAGGGCCTAGGCTGGGAGCAGGGCCTGGTGTGGGGTCTAAGATAGGAGAGGGGCCTACGCCAGCAGTGGGGCCTAGGCCGAGAGTAGAGCCTAGGCCGGGAGCGAGGCCGAGGCCAGGAGCGAGGCCAAGGCCAGGAGTGGGATTTAGGCTGGGAATGAGGCCTAGGCTAGGAAAGAGGCCTAGGCTGAGAGATAGGCCTGGGCCGGGAGCAAGACCTAGGCTGGGAACAAGACCTAGGCTGGGAGCAGGGCCTGAGCCACACCATGGGAATGGTGCAGAACAAGCCCAGGGGAGCTCCTTGCCTCTCTTTAACAGACTGTGCTTGGTATTCCCAGTTGTACACTTATTTTCTCTGTTCTGGTCAAAGCCGGACATGGATTCACCTGGCAGCAGTGCAGCACCCACACATGTGGTCATTTACTCCCTGCCTCCTTCCACCAGGGTGGGGGGGAGAGAAGCCAGGGGAAGGGAGAAACCCAAAGTAGAACTCATGGGTTGAGATAAAACATATTTACTGAGACAGAAAATAGAAAAGGAAAATAACAGCAATGATGATATGTATTCACAGAACAAGCACTGCACGACACAGCTGCTCCCCATCTGCCAACCAGCGCCCAGCCTGTCCACGAGCAGTGCCCCCCCCAGCCAACTCCCCGCAGTTTTGTACTTTTCTCACATGACACCATGCTGCATTCCTGTGACATTCCTGTGCCCAGTTTGAGTCAGCAGCGCTGGTTCCGTTCCACGCAGCTCCTTGTTGCCCTTCAGTCCCTCACTGCAGCGCAGCACAAGGAGCTGAAATGCCTGCGGCTCTGTGCAGCGCTGCTCAGCAACACCGAAACATCGGTGTATTAGCAATACTGTTTTGCTCCCAAAGCTAAAACGTAGCATCATACCAGACACTGTGAATTAGAAAGAAAAAAAAACAACACCTTTGTTCCAGGTGAAACCAAGACAAAAACGTTTTCCTTCAGCAGCAGTTTCAGCTGTGGTGTCTTCCCATGACCTGGGGCAGATTACAAATTCCCTGCAGAGTCCTCCTGGCAGCTGTTCTCCTGCAGAAACACAGGGAAGGAGTCTTGCTCCTTGGTGAGCAACAACCACCAGGAGAAGCTAAAACAAGTTTCCTGTGCACCGAGTGCTGGCGGTGGGCAGACTGGGACCAGCTTACAGAACAAGCTGTGTATACTGGCAAAACAATGAGAATTTTGTGGCTTAGATCACCTCCTGAGGAAAGCTCTGGCCTTGCCATCTGATGTGCTGGAACACCACGCTGGGAGAAGCTGCCCCCACCAAGAGGAAACAAGATAATGAGCAGGAGGGAGGCTCTTGGCTCCCAGCAGGAAAGCAGCCATGTACAAGCCCTTCTTGCAGAGTTGCGTGCTGTAGATAAAGGATTTGGGCTTGCTAGGTTTTCCAGCAAAACAGTTGCTGCTTGTAAGACAGTCTGAGAGGGCGTTGTTGACTGCTGCGTCATCCTCCTGTATCCCTTGCCTGAGCCAGGAAACCATCCATTAATGCTTTTTAAAAGACACGAGAGTCCAAGAGTTGTATTACAGCTCCTAACGGTGACAGCCACCCCCATCCTAAAGACCCTCCATCACTGCTTTCAGTCTAGCAGCTGCCTCCGATACAAATGCACCTTGAAATGAA